GCTGCTCCACACGGGACTGGTCTCAGTCTCTGCTCTCTGTCTGCAGGTGTCCTGTGTGATGTTCAGCTGGTGAAATCAGGGGGAGATGTGAGACAACCCGGAGGGTCTCTGAGCCTCTCCTGCAAAGCCTCTGGATTCACCTTCACTGACTATGGGATGAACTGGGTCCGCCAGGCTCCAGGGAAGGGGCTGGAGTGGGTGGCATTAGTGAGTCAACCCAGTGGACAGAATCAGTATTACTCTCCCTCAGTTCAAGGAAGATTCACAATTGCCAGGGACAACCCTACAAGCACAGTCTCCCTGAAAATGACAAACCTGAAAGCTGAGGACACTGCCGTGTATTACTGTGTGAGAGACACAGTGAGGGGAAGTCAGTGTGAGCCCAGACATAAACCTCCCTGCAGGAAGGGGGTGGGCTGCAGGGGGCCCTCAGGATGCATGGAGCAAAGGGACCCAGCTCAGAAGCAGGTGCAGAGGAAGGCCATGGTTCCCTTTTAAGCCTTATGCTTCCTGTCCCTGCTCAGCAAAAGTCTTACCCAAGGACCATTATGTCTTATTCCATGTAACTCTTGTGTCTCTCACCCAAGAAAGATTAAAGTATAACCATGATTCACTTTGATGTTTAAACCTGAATTTTCCAGATTTCTTCTAGAAATAATCTTTCAGTAAAGTTTTATGGATCAGGAAATCATGTGTCCTCAGTCCAAAGTCTAACACATGCAATACTTTGTGTGTTTTCTATACTCTCTCATTCATGCTGCAGTAAACACTTCACTAAGAGAATAGTCAGTAAGTTCTATGGTGTTTTAGAAAGATAGATAGACAGACCGATAGATGATGGATGAATGGATGGATGGATGGATGGATGGGTGGACAGACATAGATAGATAGATAGGTAGGTAGATGGGTGGATGGTTGGACAGATGGGTGGAAAAATGGACAAATGGACAGATGGACTGATGGACAGAGAGGTATAGATAGATAGACAGACAGACAGACCAATAGATAGAAACTCCAACCCTGCAGATCTGGTAGAGAAACCCAAACCCCAGGATTCCAGGTGTCCCCATTGCGTGATCTGGGCTGAACACAGACGAGTCTCCGTGGAGTCTGTGCTGAGCTCGGTTTTGCGTGTTGCTGTTTTAAAAGTTCACTCACTCAGAGAGTGAGTGTATGTGAATGGGCATGAGTGAGAGAAACAGGAGGGTGTGTGGCATTTTCCTGACCAGGATGTCTCTGTGTTTGCAGGTGTCCAGTGTGAGGTGCAGCTGGTGGAGTCCAGGTGAGGCCTGAGTCAGCCTGGAGGGTCTCTGGGACTCTCCTGTGCAACCTCTGGATTCACCTTCAGAGATCACTACATGAACTGGGTCTGGCCAGGCTCCAGGGCACGGCCTCCAGTGGGTCTCACGTATTAGCAGTGGTAGTGCTGTAGCAATACTATGCAGACTCCGTGAAGGGCAGATTCACCATCTCTAGAGACAACGCCAAGAACACGCTGTATCTGCAGATGAACAGTCTGAAAGCTGAGGACACAGCCATGTATTACTGTGTGAGAGACACAGTGAGGGGAAGTCAATGTGAGCCCAGATGAACACTTCCCTTGTAGGGACAGGAACAGGCAGCAGGGGGGGCTCCAATCCCACAGAGCTCAGAATTCAGACCCAGGAGTAGGTGCTTATTTAATTTAAGGGTTGATTTCCTATTGTGATCTGGGAATTCCTCTCCACCTCCCAGTTTTCCCCAGGAAATCTCTCTATTTTATGATGCTTTACCTACCACATATCTCTGCTGCTCACCATCCCTTCCTGGGAGTGCTCTTGTCAGGGATTACACAGGGATGTTATTGTTTTCAGGCAGCATAACTTTCTTCTTATGCTTTCTCCACAGGGGTTCTGTCCCAGGTCACCCTGGAGGAGTCCAGTCCTGGGCTGCTGAAACCCACCCAGACCCTGTAGCTGACGGGCACCTCCTCTGGGTTCTCACTGAGCACTAGTGGTGCGGGTGTCGGCTGGATCTGTCAGCCTCCAGGGAAGGCACTGGAGTGGCTCACACACATATGGTGGGATGATGATAAGCGTTACAACCCATCTCTGAAGAGCCGGCTCAAAATCTTCAAAGACACCTCACTGAGTGTGATGTGTTCCTGGCTTATCCCATGCAGCTACACCCCTGAGCCTCTCCACTCCTCTCTCATCACATCTCTCCTAAGTCCTCCTGATGATTGCCTCACTTTGTCCTTAGCTCCTGATCTTTTTATTTTTTCTTTCTTATTCTCCAACATCTGCCACCTCCATTGGTGAATCCAGGTGACCCCTGTTCATGTGACCTGCTGACTCACCCGTTCTCCCCATGCTAGTGATGGACCCTTTGTGCACTTTCTCCCCAGGGCATCAGGCCCTGCTGCCTCTCATCCATGTGATCTCACTCCAGGCCCAGCGGTCATGGAAATCGCTCCATCTTTGATGTCCTCAGTGAGGGATCCTCCTCTCTGAGCCCCACTGTGCTGTTCATCTATGGCTCCTTTCCACACCTCAATCATCAGGGCTCCACTGTGAACTCAGCTGGGTGTCTGAGTGTTAAATATTTCCCTAATGTAGTCCATTGACTGATTATCCAGTTTGGCTTTCTGAGGCAAAAGTGAAGGATAAAAACAAAATTGAAGTGCCTAAACAGTGAGGATATTTAGAATTTAATGAAACAGGAAGCTGTGAAATGAGTGCCTCTAAGTTGGTAAAGTCAGTGATGCGTGTGCCTGTGTAATTTGGTTCCTAATCTCCTCTCTGATATAACTAGCATCCCAGCTTCACAGCTGTTTGATTCCCGTCAGGTCTGCATGACAAATTCAGCCCCAAGTGGCACATATGGCTGGAAACATGGGTTGGAGGAGAGGAGACACATTTCTTCTGGAATCCTCTTCTGAATGACCCCGAGTCCCCACGGGCCATCTCTCTGCTTCCTTGGCCGTAACTATTCATTAAGAACAAATTCAAATGACCTGAACGTTACCTTGACAGAGTGCTGTATGTTTTTGCACTGTCCGGGCTTCCGTGCTTCACAGTGACTCCGACAATGACAATGACTCATAATTCTTCCCACGTACTTGGCCCCTTCATTCCTGAAGTTCTGACTCCATTCTTCATTTTCTTATCAGCTGCTACAGAGGGAAAAGAACCATCATCAAAGTAAAACCTTGCACCAACTCTTTGTTCTCCCTTTCTTCATGGTGGCTTGTTCCTCTCAGCAAGTTCATCATGGCTAGCCTTCAACATGATCTCACATAAATCGTTATCCCTCATCAGTGGATTCACGAATTGCTATTCTCTGCTAGGTCTCTGACAATAATTTTAACACAGTCTAAACCTCAGCTATAAACTGATACAGTCAAGTTGATTCCGATTCACAGCCACCCTATAGGACTGAGTATAACTTTCCCACAGGGTTTCCAATTCTGGAAACCCTGCTCCCACAGAAAGGCTGGTGAGCTTGAAAGTTTTTGATTAACAGGCTGTGCTTAAATGTGTGTGTCCAGGGCTTCTTGAGGCAGGTGTTGTTGTCTCAAATGATCTCCACAAGGGCCGGAGGGTATTTTCAGTCACAGTGACCTAATAGTTTCTTCTTAACCTGGGCATGAGCAGACCCCAGGGACTCACATACACACTCATAAACATGCTCACTACTTGTAGTTTTTGTTTTGTCTCTGAGAGCTAACTCTTTATGTCAGTAATTTTTCTGATCCACCACTCCCTGAAGACTAAGCAGACACTGCTTCATCTGTGTAAGCTGAGGTCTGGGAATATTTGATGAGAAATGGGACCATCTGAGTCTGGATGTGATCCGCCTCCTCCTGCCCTCTGCAGCCCCACAGCAGGTCATCCCACTCTTCCAGGCTCAGCCCACAGGGTGCAGACTTGTCCTGTTTATCAGGTCATCTGAATTATGCTGACTCCCCTGTTCCTTGGCCTATTCCCTGCACTCAGCCATGGAGGTTGTTGACTAATTCACTTGTTAATGTCAGTTAACTCAGTTGCTGCTGAGGGAATCCAACTAACAGGGACCCTATGGGACAGAGTACATCTTCCTGACAGGTCCCAGCCTTTGATCTCTATGGAAGCAGATGGCCAAGTCTTTCTTCTGAGGGGCAGTGTGTATGTTCCAACCGCTGACCTTTCAATCATCCGTGAGTGGTTAACCACTGCCCACAAGGGCACCTTCTATGTATGGTTCTCAGGGGTTGGTTTGAACACTGATTGTTGTGATAACAATATGTAAAACCATTGAGTCCTTACTATAAAGTTTACAAATAAAGTCATTCCCATGATTCTCAATTTTAAGGTTTCCTATTGAAAAGTTTCCCTACTGAACCAAGGCGAGTGAGGTCACATCCTCAGGGTCTCACAGTGCAGAGGGACCGAGCTGTACTGTGCTTCCCACCACTCTTTATTGGAAGGATCTCAGCCATAATTCCAGGATTCAGGGACACCTCCCCTCTGGAGGGCAGCTTTCACATGATTTTTCAACATAAACTCCTTCCTGGGAGAGAGTGTTTCCCTCTGTGCAAGGTGATATTGGCCCTTCTGGAAGTCATTCAGAAAGCAGTTCTATTGCTCAAAATAATTCAAATTATTTCTGCTAAAGTCGTGGAAATCATGTTTATATATATATATACCCACCAATATATACCCACCAGCCACTCCTCGGAAGGAAGGTTGGGCAATCCTACTTCCGTAGTGATACTGCCTCAGAAACCCAAGGAGGGGTCGCTATGAGCCGGGGACGACTCGACGGCACATAACAACAACAACAACAACTATATATATATATATATATATATATATATATATATATATATATATGATGAATTAATGAACAGTATAGAAGGTTAATAGAAATATGAACACTGATAAAGATAAGTTTGAAGAGCCATGGTTCCTTTTATTCTTAGTTTCACAAGGCAGGCCCTCAGCTCATCACCCCATATTGGACGTGTGCACTTCTGCCCAGTGCACCAATGCCAGCTCACAACAAGGTAAGTGTGGAACACACGAAAACCCATCCTTCCTGAGAAAACCCTTGATCTATAGACATGTCTAATGGATCAGTTCTCCCAGGAGCTGAACTCTGGGACTTCTGTGGACACGGTTGTGTAATATTGTGTGAGAGATGGAATGTGACAAGACACAAACTTCCCTGCAGGGAGAAGGCTGGGCTGCAGGGGGCACTCAGGACCCATGGGCCACAGGGCCCATCTGGGAGAAGATGCAAAGGAGCCTAGGGAGGAAGTTCTGAAATCAGCCTGGTGTTTCCTTTTCCTGCACACATAATGTTTTCCCACAGACCTCACAATTCTGTGATCATGGATGTGTGTGTGTGTGTGTGTGAGTTTACTTTTATAAAACACCAAAATAAAAGTAATAGGAGTGTATTCAAAAAACAAAACTCACTGCACTAGACTCAGTTCTAATAATAGTGACCCCCACTTGTATTTTAATTCCTGTCTTTAACTTGATATCCAAAACATTTGCCACTTGTGAATCTCATCTGGTACATTGTTCATTAAGACTCTACTTTGCTTGTCATCAGTATGCTCCATGATTTTTCTTAACTAGGACAGGAGATATTAATGTACAGATGAAAATTATATATATATATTTTTTTTTTTCCTCATGGGTGTTATTGCATTCTTCCTATGCTACTTACAAGTCACAAAGGATTATTCTCTGGCTTTGAAATCCAGTGACCATTTACTTTCCAGGGATTTTGGCCTCTAGTGCTGCTCTCACTGAAAATACCACAAATGGACTGACAGCATCAATAGACAGGGACTAATTCTCTTACAGGTTTGGAGGTTAGCTTAATGAGTTCAAAATGCCAAGCTCTAGGGACTGGGTGAACGGCCCTCAATCTTGGGCTTCAGCTCTGTTTTTTGCTCCCAGCCCACTGGAGGTGAAGGTATCTCTTCACTAGAACAGCCGCTCGCTGATGAGGCTGACAAACCTGAAGTGAACAAATAAAATGGCACAGTCCCAACATCACCAAGAAACACGGCAGGCCACAAGTGCAAGTCCACAGACAGTCCCAGGATCGCCAAGAAACATGACATGGTACTGAATGAAGATTTGGCTGCATCCAGGGTCCAAGCATGCCATAAAGGTGCAGAGACCTTTCTCAAAGTTTTTCCTTATATACTGGAAACAGACCATATCCCCAAGGCAGCTAATTAGCAAATGTCACCATGGAATTAATTGCCAGTCTCATCATGGGGGAATAACTGCAACCAGTTGCCCAGACACCCAAAAGCAGGCCCAGCCAAGTCAATACACAACCTAACTCCCACACTGGTTTTCAGACTTGGCTGGGACTGGCACCTTCTTTATTCATTTTCAATGGCACTCAGAATTCACCTGCACAGACCCTGGTTCTCTGTACATTCTTGACATAAACACTAGCATACAGCAAACTCATGCCCTGTTCTCATAACAGACAGAGGATTCTGCAAACCTCACGAGGCATGTCCAGCTCAGACATGGAGGTGGTTCAGGAAGGTGGTTGTGTCCACTTGTGAGACGTAAAGTCCCACACACAGGGATAACTCTTACCAGGTGTGTGTTCAGGTGCACTTGACACTGTCCCTCCATGTCCTGCCTGTAGTTTTGCTTCAGGAAATTATGGGAAATATTGGAATCAGTAAAAGGAAATCAGCTTATGGATAGCAAGCGTTTATCACAGCACAATCTACAAAAAGAAATCATAATTTTACCAAAAACTATCTTTGCCACCAAACAACCTCAAGGATACCCCTGTCTGCTCTGGGGTATGGCCCTCTCAGATGTTATGCAACTCCACATATTGCTATATAGGAGGAGGAGATGCAAATCGGGCCCCGCCCTCAGCTGATGAAAACCAGCCCAGCCCCAACCCTGCAGCTCTGGGAGAGGAGCCCCAACATCAGGATCCCAGGTGTCCGCATCCAGTGATCTGGGCTGAACACAGACGAGCCTCCATGGAGTCTGTGCTGAGCTGGGTTTTCCTTGTTGCTGTTTTAAAAGGTCATTTTATGGAGAGAAAATGCATGTCAATGGGCATGAGTGAGAGAAACATGTGACGGTTTCCTGACCAGGATGTCTCTGTGTTTGCAGGTGTCCAGTGTGAGGTGCAGCTGGTGGAGTCTGGAGGAGGCATGAGTCAGCCTGGGGGGTCCCTGAGACTCTCCTGTGCAGCATCTGGACTCACCATCAGTGGCTACTGGATGTACTGGGTCCGCCAGGCTCCAGGGAAGGGGCTGCAGTGGGTCTCACGTATTACTAGTAGCGGTAACACATACTACGCAGACTCCGTGAAGGGTCGATTCATCATCTCCAGGGACAACGCCAAGAACACGCTGTATCTGCAAATGGACAGTCTGAAAGCCGAGGACACGGCCATGTATTACTGTTCGACACACACAGTGAGGGGAAGTCAGTGTGAGCCTAGACAAAAACCTCCCTTGTAAGGACAGGGACATGCAGCAGGTGGCACTCCTGACCCACTGAGCTCAGAATTCAGACCCAGGAACAGGTGTATATGTCATTTATGGGCTGATAACCTATTGGGATCTGGGGACTCTCCTCTATCTCACTGTTTCCCCAAGGGAATGTCTCTATTTTTATAATTATGTGCCCCTCCACCCACCATCTTTAAATTCAAAAGTTGTAACAAGAGGAAGCATTCTCACACCCAGAAAAGCAGTCTGTCCCTTGTGGAGGGAAAGGACTCTGCCAGGATCCCACCCTGAG